GCACACTCGCACGCACACGCTCCTCCCGGCCCCGCCATGTTCCGGGAGGCGGCGGCAGGCCAACCCGGGAGCGGGCAGCGGCGGCGGGGAGTGACCCGCTGAGCCCGGCGCCCCCAGCCTGCTAGCAGTTGCCAGCTGCGCGCGGTGACTCCTCCGGACTCCTGGAGGGGCGGCGGCAGGCGCGGCGGACCCGCGCTGGGGCTACTAACGGCCTGTCATCGTGAGCCCCGCGGCGCTGCGGGCGAGCCTGGACAGGCAGAGCGGAAAGGAGTGAGCAAGGCGCGTCCCCTACCTTGCTCTGGAGAGGGGGAACGGGAACAGCGCAGAACTGAGGGGTCTCCTCCCAGGCGCCGGGGACGGGGCTCGAAACCGCGCCCCTCCTTCCTTCTTGCCTGTCGCCACGCCCCCCTCGCCCTCACGGACCCGAGGCACTGTCGACACAGGAGGCTTTAGGCCCTGAACGAGTGCCTCGGCGTTGCCGGTGCTGTCGTTGTCTTCGTCACTGCTGCAACCGCCACTAACGCCGCCGAAGCCGGGCTTGAAAACATCTCCGGTCTCGGTCCGTCTCTCACCACAGCCTCCTCGCTCCTAGGGCAGCGCCGCCCGGCGATTGGCTGCGGCGCGGGCACGTGATTCCGCGGGCACGGGACGAGCGGCGTGACTGTCCCGCCCCCGGCTCTCGCCCGCCCCTTCCGTCGGCCCTCCCCACTACCCCGCCTCTCCCAGCTGTACGGAGAAGCTTCCCGAGCCGCGGGGCGGGGGGGAGTCGGAACGTACCAAGTGGGAGGCGGGGGTGGTACAGGCCGGACTCCGCCCAGCGTGCTCGTTCTCTTCCCACCCCACCCGGTTGTCGCCACTTCCACCCCGCCGTCACCAGCCCTAGAAAAGAAGGGGAATCAAAGGTTGAGTAAGAAAGCAGCGCGGGAGCTGCAGTAGGTTTTTGTGGCGACCATGGCAATGAATGGAACTGGAAACTTCTGGAAATGGCGGTGGCGGCGACGAAAATAGACTATTGACATTATTTTTGCAAAGACGAGTGTACGAGTTTGTAATCTCGGACCTAGGGAGACGGTGCTGCGATCTCTGCTTGAGGCAAAGAAAGGAACTCTATCATTATACTCGCACTGCAGAGGGCTGGCTCAGGTGCGTACGGAGAGGCAAGGCGTGGCGGAGTGCCCACGTCCGCTGCAGTGCGCCTGCGCTATAGGCCGTAGGACCCCCCTTCCGCCGACGCGTGCTAGGAGCTCAGCGGGGTGGCTACGTGTGCGCCCTCACCTGCACCAGGTGGGGCCGCACAACCTGTCCCGAAAAAACTTTAGCATGCGCTTGCCCCAAGGATAGCACAGACTTCATCATGTGCCCTTTCCCATTCACACCTTTGGATAACCTTTTCGAGAAATTTAAGTGCATTTTTCCACATCCGAGATGGTATTTCAGAAGGAATTTCGCAGGTACTGGAGAGAAGTGCATGAGGAAAATTTACCGTCTCCCAGCAGCGGGTACTCTGACTTCCTTCTGGACACTTACATTGTGGTTAATTTGAGACAATGTGTACATGCTTTCATTTAACCACCAAAGAGGTTACATAATCGGAGAGAAACCATTTTATTCTGACTTCCTTCTGGACGCTTATTTACATTGAGGTTAATCCTCAACAATTTGTGCATGCTTTAACCACCGAAGGGGTTAGTTACATAATTGGAGCGAAACCACCTCTTCGTTAATAGTGGCTTCTAAACTACAGCACCCATTTGTGACTTGAGTGGTTACAAATTTGTCATCAATCACGGCAGATGATGTAACATTTCCTACTTGAGAAAACTAAATCCCAGTAAGTTACTACATAAAGCATAAACTTGCATTAAAGATCAGTATTTTTTCGTTTCCTAGGTTCAGTCGAAAACATTAGGTTCAATAAGAGAGCACTTCATGGCTAGAGATGGAACACTATTACACTTAATTTGGATATTTATGCATGAAATGCAAACAAAAAAAATCCACTAAAAATTGAACCAATTCTGACATCTCTTCAAAGTCATTGATTTGGTTCTCATTACAGGAAGGTCAATTAGTATAGATGGTAATGGCAAAAGATATTTCTGTAGCAGTAAGTACCTCACTTCAAAATTGAAAGGTAGTTAATCCTGAATTTGCTGAAATAAATTGATCATAATTTATGGCAACAGCTATATATATGTACAACCTTATTAACATCACTGAATACATGACTCATAAGGCAATCATGATCCAGAGTACTGTACTGACTACGCTCAACAGGAAAATACTTACAAAAGTTCATTGTAGAAATAAAGTTGCAAAAATATTTTTAAATGCTCATATCAATAGCAAATTATATATCAGTAAAAATTTGTCATTCAATTAAAGGTCATCCAAATGAAGTATAAGTCAAGAAATTAATCTTATAAATATTATTGATATAGGTCTTAAAAGCCTGAAGAAAGCTAGTTTATATCCACGAGCTAGTTGATCAGTACTAGCTCCTAGAATCCATCTTCAGCAAGTGGGTAAAATATGTTTTCTTAATAGTACCAGGAGCTCAAGGATACCCAAGCATTAAACATATCACTCTTAGCCAAAGTTAAGTTTTATTTATTTAGGATTACTAGCAGACACTTAAAATGTATATATTCGATATCTGAACTAGAAGCCATTCTACAAAATTTACTAACATGTAAGTCGTCACACTTTTAGAATCAACTACTCTTATGTTTTGCTACATTAAGTCCAGTTGAATCCTATCATTCAAAAAATCCTGCCATATTTCGGGAAGGTGAATTAGATAAATGAAAGTATAATCTCAAATCATAGCTTATCATATATATGACTTAGTCTATACAGATGTAATGCCTTTGCAATGAATATTCTTATAACTATTATCATGTTCTGTAGAATTTTCTGGAGCAGAGGCCTCATCCAGTTACAACAGGTTAATTCTGAGCAATCAGCAGCTCTCCCCCTAGCAACTTTCAGTAGCCAAAACCAAACCTAAACAGGTGGTAGATTCTCTGCTAGTAGGGAGAATGAAAAGTTGAATTGTTGGTTTACTTTTGCCATTAAACATCAATAAGTAAATTTTTTCCCCAATTTTCCTTTTTAAAAAAGAACACAGTAGAGAACTGAGAAGGGGAAACAAGGGAGTGAGTGGTGGTAAACATAAATGATACCTATCTCTTCCTACTGTTTTGATAATTAGGCTGGGATATAGCTGTCATCTCCAGCTCCTGGAAATTGGCAAAGAAATTTAATCAGTATGTTCATTAATCCAAGAACCATCCTAGATTAATGAAATTTACCTGTTAGGTGTTCTTAAAAGCTGGTTAGGACACTGTCACTAAAATCAGTGTTTTTGTGTTAAAATCAGTAGGATTTTCAAGAAAAATGGGCAAAAAAAATTAAGACTCAGCTCAAAATCCTAATACGACTGCAGTACAATATAAATGATCATCTAAGAAGTATAGAAGTATAAAAGTTCATTGTAGAAGTTGCAAAAAGTTTTGTTTTGATAATGGTTCAACAGTATGCCTATAATTATTATGACCTAAAATTGTCTGCTTCTAAAATATTATATAAAAGTTAATAACAAGTGCATATCTTTAATACATGACTTTTTCACCTGGTATCTGAACCTCCCTCCCCACTCTTTTCTTCTAGTTATAAAAGTTTTTTAAATATTCAAAGTGTAAGGCATTTGTACGAAAGTCAATAGTAGAATTAATTTAAATGACTTTTTTTTTTTATCATTTTAAATAAACGGCTTAATAGTTAACAAATAGAAGATAGTCAATATGTATAGACTTTTTAAAAAAGGGATAAAAATAACTAGTAAAAGTAGTTGCCTGTTAGAAGGAAATCAAAAGGGCTCTAGGGTAATTTACCCTAAGGGAGTCATTTTCATTGTGTTACCTTTTGTGCTACTTGAAAAATTACTGTTATTGCCTTCCTTCTAAGGTAAAAACCAAAAATAATTTTTAAAGAGCTAAGGTAAAAACTAATTTTTAAAGACATTCTTAAAAATGTTTTTAATCATAAGTATTAGTTAATAGTCTGTCAAAACATTAAGGCCAAAGAGCAAATTTCAGAAATCCTGAAATGATTAGATTTATTCCTGCACTCAAGCTGGTTACTAATTTTCAACTTGCAAAACTAATGTACTACAGCTAGTTTCTTAAACTGGATGTAACACACAGAAGGTTTTATCCTTTCTTTTTAAGTTGTAATATGTATTTAACTGTGGAGTATATTTTGCATATCCATTGATCTTTCGAACTCAGATTATACTATATTTCAATTTCTTTCCCCAATTATTTTTTGTATACTTGCAATGTCAAAAAAGCCAAGGATAATGTCAAAGATCTGTACCTTCCTTCTTTAAAAATGATCTAGAGACAACTACCTTATCCTCCTTATACCTACAGTCTGCCTGAAGTGTCACTTACCAGTTGGAAATATAGTAACAGTTGTGTTCTATAAACAGCAGTCCCCAGTCTTTTTTGGCACCACAGACCAGTGTTCCTATGAGAATCTAATACCAGATGATCTGAGGTGGAACTGAGGTGGTGATGCTAGCGTTGGGGAGCTGCTGCAAATAGAAATGAAGCTTTGCTCCCTCACCCACCACTCACCTTGGACTGGTACCATGGCCTGGGCGTTGGGGACCTCTGCTATAAATATAAAAATGTTTAAAGGGAGCACTGACATAAAGTTTATGGAAAGATCATGTTAACTTAAGACTTGGCAATGGCTAAGACAGGAAAGCAAAATGTATTTGAAATTTGACAGAATTTTTATTTTACAATAACCTAGCATTATTGATAAGAATGACCTGGCATTGAAAATGTGTGATATTGGAGTAACTGTTAAATAGATTATGGAATAATGTGTTCATAGTTAGCAATACATAGCAGAAGACTTTAAAATGGAGCGCTGAAGTTCTGACATGGTACTTGTATCTCCAAGTTGCTAGGTTACTACCAAAATGTACACAGATTGAAATAAACAACATTAAAAATTTATGTAGATAGGAGATTCATGTTTATTTCTCCTATGTCATATATTATAGGCCCGCTTGCACACCAAAGCCAGGTCCTTTCGGTGGTTCAGTCAAAGAGGTAAGACCCCCAGCTGGCTCACAGGAGAAGCGTCCACTTCTGAAAAGAAAAGCAAGTAACATTAAATTGACTATTAATGGTTACCATTTATAAATTTTTACTTAAAGAAATTATAATTGTTACTTCCCAACAGCCCAGTTAAATAACTATTCCCACCACAAGAAACAGCATAGATTATTTAATCCAAACATTTCAACTTCTGCAAGATTTTCTTCCAAAGTTAAACATGAAAACTGACATAACAAATATCAAAACACCATAAATATGAATATAAAAATAACACTAATACCAGTTCCCATTTCTTGAACAGCGTACATACATTATTAGCTCATCTGATCTCAACAATGCCATGAGACAAGAGATATTGGCCTTATTTTACAGATATAGAAACCAAGGCTTGGGGAATTCAGCATCTGTCCAAGGATCAGAGCTTAACTGTAGCAAAATAATCCATTACAGAGGACATTTTAAAAAATCATGTTTTAATAAGCTATAGCACTACATTTATTCTTTTTATATTTGAATTTTATTTAGATTGAGATCTACTGTCACAGAAAGGAATACACACTGATACACTATATTTGGAAATAAACTAGATTCCTTGATTTGGGAGGATGTCCCTTAGATGGAGTAAAGACAAAATCTATTTGTGGTTATGTTTTTAAAGGCTATATTAGTATTTTCAAAAAACAAGTTCCAGTCCAGGGTTGCTACCAAAGCCACAAAGAAAAGAAAACAAGAACAGGTCCTTATGTAGGAACCCATGAAGAGAAGCAGCACAGAGGTAGAAGAACTTGTCTTTTGTTTCACCCCCACACATACTTTCCCAGGTAATCTCTCAACCTCTGCCCTGTCTGACCTCTGTTGCTAGAGCCCAACTCAGCACCTACTCTTGGTTCACCCCTCCTATTCCCTGGCTTTGTTAATTTACCTTGTTCCTGCCACAGATTTTAGCTGAATAATTTGTTCAATTTACATCTCTTTATTCCCTCTGGCTTTGCCCTTCACATTCTGTCATCAATCTTATAAATCTACTTTTAAAGCCTTAGGAAGTCATTTTTTTGTTGAGAGGACAGGAAAGTGATACCACATAAGTTATAAGATGTAAGTATTGTAATGTAACTGAGTATTTAACAAAGAATGCCTACAAAGTCAGAAATTAGTTAATACATTTGCATTATAGGTTTGCTATGAAAAGCAGATCAAAAAACAGACACTGTGTACTATCTGTCAGAGCCTAAAACTGTTGTAGGGTTGAAGTGGCAAAATTAACTAGTAATACAGGTATAGCTGCTGCTCTTTGATTGCCAGTGAAATAATGAAATTAATTTATTTTGGAGGACCGTTCTTCTCTTTTACTAAGTTCCCTCTTGTGGTTTAAGCTCAGCTGCTCCCTTTACCAATGCAAAGCAGGACCATTTTAAGATTTTAAAAACCAAAGTTTCTGGAACAGTGAATGGGAGAATTAACCATGTACACTGCCTGAGCTCTTTACAGGATTATCTAGTTTTATATAAGAAAGTTATTTTAAGAATAACATGGTCCAGTTTCCTAAAGTTTTTTCCATGAAATGACAGTCCCATGACATACTTGAGGGGGAAAAAAGGAGTTCCAGGGGTCCGTCGGCTTGCAAACTTTCTCCTTCCCCCACTATTCACAAAATGCACATTAAAGTATTTTATAAAGGCTGCAAAATCTTCCAGTAACTAAAGCCTACAAACTTTATTTAATTTACTCATTATATAACCTTTCCCCTCATTTGATCTATAAACATGCATCAGAACACTAATAGAGAGGCAATGATCTAGCCCTATCTATTCACCTGACAGCCACAATTTACACTAGGGTATTCGCTTAATAAAAAACAAAAAATTATTTCCCTGATATGTTATGCTTAAAATACCATCTACTAATTACCGTTATCTTCACCACAATTCAAAAGTAAATCTGGCTTTTTAGCCATTCCAATACTATTTCTACATTCATCATTATAAACTCATATGCATTCTAGAAAACTTGGTTTTTCTGTATAGTTCTTATGGCTTAAAAAAAAGTATATTTAAAGAAAATCTACTTTATGTAAGTTTAGTGCTTATCCTTTTAATACTACTCAGAGATACCACTGTCCCTACTTTTAGTGTAAAAAAAATAAGTGATTTTATTGTCTAGTTATTCAACGGCAACCACTTATATATTTTTACATATACTTTGTAGCCTACCTATATATTTTTTACATCTCAGATGTTATCTGCACCCCACAGAATTCTGAAAAATTTAAGATATCTTGATAAAATGAAATATGAATTCAAATCTGATTTAAAATTAGTTTTAGCTATTCCATACTGTAAAACTTCTATATATTAACTAGTAATTTGAAAATAACTTTAAAAGTTATTTTCAGTACTTTACCTGAAGAATAATCTCACCACATAAATATTTGCTTATTACTCTCAAAGTAAAGAGTACTGTCTTACAATCAGTTTAATATTTTCTTTCCAGACATCATTTACCAAAAATTAAAAAGCAGTTCTGAACCACCTAGAAACATTCTTTTACTAATTTTGGCCAGGGTAGACCTCATAGTGGTACTCAGAAATCAACTGGTTACTACTGAATCTGTTTAATTTCTCTCATTACTCAAAGAATCACAATGAGCACCTGTTTCAAATAGGTGAGCAAGTGCTTCAGTATAAAAATACCGATAAAAAAGAATTAGCCAGTTTTGGTTAATTTAAAGAATAATTATAACTGTATTTTGAAAATTACTATCATCACAGTGTCTCTCATTATCCTATATATTCAAGAAATTAAGTTGGAGAAGGAGAGGGCAAGTTCTTGTTTCCATATGCTGGGAAGACATTCTGGAATTACCATGTCCAAATACAATCTTTATATATAACATTGGTGGACTTTTTGCAATTATTGAAAAATAAGATTTATCTCTGCTTTTTAAATAAGAGTTGATAAGTAGTAAATAAAAACTGGGTTCAAAAACCAATAATTCTACTCTTTGGCTCAAACCTAGAATACTGGCAAAAAATCTCAGTGAAGAACTATTTACAATTACCGATAACATTCCTATTATAATCAGATGTTGAAAGTTCGAACTGTGGTTTTTAGTTCCTGTTAATTATAATAATGTTATAGTATCTCTTGTATTAAAAATAACAATAAACTCTAATTTCACCCCTGGTAATCTCATGCACACTTATGGCTTTACCATGAATGACAACTGATGAATCTCCAATCCATGTTACCAGGCCTAATCTATTCCCTAAATTCTAGGCTCATATCTACCTTTTAGCAGTCTACCGTGGGTCTGTCTAGTAAGCATCTCAAACTTAACATGTCCAAAACAAAGTGACTTTTCTTCCCCAAACTTGCTCTACTGCAAAGTTTCTCCATTTCAGTTAAAAGAACCACTGAAGTGGTGCTCAGGCCAAAGAGCTAGAAATCACTCATAATTCCTCTGCCCCATGATATCCATTAAATTTTAAACTATTCTCCACACAGCAATTAGAACAATAAGTTTAACAATATCACTCATATCATTCCTTACTAAAAAGACTCCGACAACAGCTTTTTATTATATTTAGGTTCCAACCTAAATTACTTACTTAGGCCCTATCTATCTCTCTGAACGCCTCTACCACTTTCCTCCTTATCACCTCACTGCAACCATACTGTCATTTTTCCCCTAGGGCATTAATATATCCTCTTTTCCCTCCCTGAAATAGTCTTTACATGGTTTCTTTGGGATTATTGATTCAGGTCATGGCTCAAATGTTATCACTTTAGAGAGGCCTCTCCTGACTAAATTTATTCTCTATTCCCTAAGCCTGCTTTATTTGTCTTTATAGCATTTATTACTCAGATATTACATTAGTTGTCTGTCTCCATCACTAGAATACATTTGACAACTTTACCTTGTTCATAATTGTGCACACAACATAAAATAGTGCCTGGCACACAGCACACAGCACACACCCAAAAATGTTTGTGAAATAAATGAATGGCGAGGGACTGTCATTTTCCATGAAATGACAGTCCCATGACATACTTGAGGGTGAAAAAAGGAGTTCTTTCTATTTGTATGGCAGGAGATTAATGTTGGATTAATGTTGTGACTGACAGAAGGGAAGTAGGAGGTTCTAAATGGCAAAAATATGACTACTAATGAAAAGGGGACATCTAAAAAAACCAAGTAAATTTTATGAGGAAATCTGCACTTGAGACATTAAAACAAAATGAAAGAAGTTATAGTTTTAAATACAAATACAAGAGTAGCATAAACTTATTTAAAAATATCTGAGTCCTATAAACAAGCTGAAGTTTGTGGAAATTATGGACTTTTTTGGGGGGTGGGGGGGAGGGTGCTACATTGGAAGCACAAGTAAGTAAGGGATATAGGACCAGTGGCTAAGAAAGATATTGTAATGTTAAATGACAAAGGCTTCACTTCAGTAGGCTCCATAATGGAGAATGCTTCTTCACAATGGAAATGTTTTATCCCCCAAAAATGTAATTGTAGCCATAAAAGTGAAGAACTAGGAACAAAATGCCAAATCTCTTCATGCAAATTCAATTTAGTGTTAAAAGAAGTTATACTTCTTAGAAAAGAAAGTAATAGTCAATAGAGGTCAGCTTGCCTTTACTAAACTTAAGTTATCCTGAACTGACCTCGTTTTCTTATTAGTCTGCCAGAAAATGAGTGAGTACTTCTAGAGTGCAGACTCCAGAACCACTCATATCCCCTGATTTAGTATTCAACTTCAGGAAATTGTTATTTATAACAAAAAGTAGGAAAACATATCTTAAAATGGGAATAAAGAGCACATCATAGTCCTCTTAATACATTAGAATACTATATAGCAATTAAAACCTAAGTTGAAATTTTATGTTATAAGCAGAAAGAAGTACTTACAAAAGGATTACAACTGTATAAAACCATGAAAATATTTGCTAATATTAAAAGAGAGTTTTGAGTAATGTGAACACTTAGATATGGCATAAGGGTTTATTTAGCAGCAAAAGTTCAGGTTCATTACTGAAAGAAAAGTAACTAGTATAACACAACTGCAGGATGAGAGCAAACTGGATAAACAGAGTTTAAGCTGAAAAAGATCTAGGCATTCTAACTGACTATATGTGTAATTAATGGTGTAATGTATCTGAAATGAAAGTTGATGTAATTAGGCTGCATCATTACAAGCATACTGTCTAGAAGAAAGGAGACAGCCCCGCATGCACTGCACTGCTCAGCACATATCTCAAATACTGTGATTCGTTTAAGTACCTCTTTAGGAAAGTCATTGGTCAACTAGAAAACTACTAAAATCAAAACTTTTAAACGGTGGAATGGATTTCTATTTGTAGTAAATTTTCCTTCTTTATAAGTAGATAACATATGATTATCTGATAGCATCTTAGAAGGGAAAGAAATTTCTTGCTTTAGATGACAGGTTGGTTTGGATACTATCCAAGGCTCCTGACAACTTCTGTAAACTTAGGGTATAAAGTTTTAAAGACTGAGTTTATGTGAAGATCAATTTAGGTTAAACCATTAAAATTGCTTATATAGAAATAAAAGCATACCTTGGCCCAGGTTTTGGAATTTTGCCAGCCTTGAGCTCATCAATAATTTCTTCAATATCCTTAGGTGTGAGATCCTCCTGCAAAAAAAATATTAAAATAGTCCTATTAAAATTTCTACTACTGAAATCTGTATAAATCCCTTAGTTTATTATTTGTCTCTCTCAATTTACAAGTTAGTTACCAAGGCAGCAGCAACTGAATAATTCCTATATACAGTATATACTGCTACTATGTTACCTGAAGAGGTAGTACAGAATAGTCCTTTGAAGCGAAAGTTTCGCATGAGTCCTGGTTCTAACCCTTACTAGCTAGTAATCTTAGACAAGTTACTTAGCCTCCCTAAGTTTGTTTCTTCATTTGTAAACCTACTTCGGAGTGATTTTCAGGATTAAATTAAACAATACATAAAATGAAACAGTGCCTTGGCACGTGCTCAGCAAATGCTATGTCCTTGAAAAAACAGTGAGGTGGCAAGTAGTAATTAGCACCAGCAGGTATAGTAACTTAAAAGTAGATGCCTAATATCTATCCCTAACCTAAAGATCTAATACCCCAGTAGTATTTTCTTTCTTTTCCAGGTAAAATGCACCTTGTTTCAAAGTTCACTTTATTTTCAAAGGGAAAAGTAAAAAAACCTTCTTTTCGACACATTTATTTTAATGGTCTTGACCCTCTAAGCTCCATTTAAACCAGAACAGCTCTATATTTTATACACTGTGCACCTGTGTACAATTTCTATCTCAAGAAAGGGTACTGTTATTTAAAATAAATACAATTAAAACACAAACACATACACTTGTATACAAAGCTACTGCAACCTAAATCAAAAGACAATCAAAACAGAATGGGCACAATTAAACTAAGAAAAAAATGCCTAGACGACATTAGATCCCCTTCTCCCCCTCCAAAACTGTTGTGTTTAACAAAATGTTTTGAAGGACTTTAATACTATGCTAGAGAAATCAAGATTCATTACTGTATCTCCAGTACCTAGCCACATAAAAAGCCTTTAATATTTGTTGAGTAATTAAACATTTGTGAAATAAAAATCTGCTTTCAAACTATTTAGGGTTTAGAGATGCTCAGCACTTCGCAATTATGAGAAATCTTTAAACTCATCTGACGATATTATTCCTCCTCCAACTATTTATTATGAGAACTTGAAAACTCTACATGAATACCCATATTCCTACCACCTAGATTCAACAATTTTTAATTTGCTGTATTTACATGATGTACAGATATGCCCTTTTTTATTTTGGCTGTACCATTTTAAGCAAGCTGCAGCCATCATGACACTTCACCCCTAAGACTTCGGCAGACATCTCTTAAGAAAATTTTCTTAAGTAACACAATGCCATTACCACACCTAATTAATAACAATTCCTTAATAAAATGTCAACTACATAGTCAAACCTATCTAACCATCCCCAAAATGTGATAGCGCTCTTTCCCATCTTGCACGATGCCGGGTGAAAAAGCTGAGAAGCCAGACACTAAGAAGAAGCCTGAAGCCAGAAGGCTGATGCTGGTGGCAAGGTAAAGAAGGATAACCTCAAGGTCAAAACACCTAAGAAGGGGAAACCCCACTGCAGCTGAAACTCTGTCCTGGTCAGAGGAAATGGCAGATACTTCCGACCAGCTATGTATTCCAGAAAGGCCATGTACAAGAGGAAGTATTCAGCAGCTAAATCCAGAATTGAAAAGAAAAAGAAGGTTCTCGCTACTGTCACAAAACCAGTGGGTGGCTAAAAGAATGGTGGCACCTGAGTGGTTAAACTCCGTAAAATGCCTGGATACTAACTTACTGAATGAAGATGTGCCTCAAGAGCTGTTGAGCCATGGCAAGAAATCCTTCAGTCAGCATTCAAGAAAACTTTGGGCTAGCATCACCCCCGGAACCATTCCGATCATCCTCACTGGGCATCACAGAGGCAAGAGGTTTTCCTCTAAGCAGCTGAGCAGTGGCTTGCTACCTTGTGACTGGACTCTGTCTCTCAAACGAGTCCTCTACATAGAACACACCAGAAATTTGACATCGCCACCGCCACCAAAATTGACTGTGAAAATCCCCAAACATCTCACTGATGCTTACTTCAAGAAGAAGCTGCACAATCACAGACACCAGGGGGGGTGAGATTTTTAACACAGAGAGAAATACAAGATTACGGAGCAGTGAAAGGTTGATCAGAAAGCCATGGACTCGCAAATTATGCCCCAAATCAAAGCTGTTCCTCAGCTCCAGGGCTACTTCCATTGTGTTTGCTCTCACAAATGGGGTTTATTCACACAAATCGGTGTTCTAAATTTATTACGAAAAACCTCATTAAATGCCTGATCTGTTAAAAAAAATAGCTGTTCTTTCCCCCCTAAGCAAGATCCAATCAAAGTTTGTGACTATTTCATTTTATCTACTCATCAATTGAGATCCACAAAAGTTAAAATACTTTGCCAAACTATTACTAACTGAAAGAATGTTTATTTTTTTAATTTTATTATTTTTTATTTTATTATTTAGCTCTTAGATAAATCTATAGGTTTGTATTATTTAGACTTACAATGCTTCATACAAAGCCCTAATTCCTGTTTAAATCGAGATCCTCATTATTAAATTGCAGAAATGTGGGAAAAGGGAACGCTGTTGCCACATTTTTAAAGACTTTTTAAACTATGGGAAATAGATGAGGTAATAAATTTAAATCATTGATCATTAAAATGAAAAAAATCACTATAGGGAAGGAAATGCCCTAGAAATCTAACTAGCCAAGGAAATCAAATTTCATCTTCATTAAAAAATTACAGCTACCTGTTTCAAGCATTATGGCAGAATAGCTGTCCTTACCCTTGTAAAAACTATAAATGCTGGGTAAAATAAACAAAAATTTTAAATTTCATCAGTACAATGACAAAAAAGAAATACCTAGAGGCCAAAAACTCAACAAAACCCAGGTTTGGAACACCAAGCAAACTTGGCTTCAGGGTCTCACAGCCTAAGGGGGCAAGAGACAAAGGCCCAGGCCACAAGAGACATGAAGTTAAGACCTCAAAAAGCTATACCCTCAATATAGAGGTAACTATAAATTAAACTGTCCTTCAAAAAACTGCTAGCCTGGAATCTTACACATTGGGGGAAGATGGGAGGGTGTGAAAGAGGAACTTTCTTTTGGGCCAGTAGCATTTCTGGGAGCAAGAGTAGTAAAGCAAATCTCTTTAAGAAGAGATTTATTAGTTTATTACTATTCAAAGAATTTCCATAAACAAATTTCTAAGAAGTATGAGCTAATGAGATATTGTGAATGAAAACTATTATATAATTAGGGTAGTAGATTATTAAAAAAAAAAAGATAACAAGAAAACTCCAGACACTTGAATATTAAGAACACTTCTAAAAAACAAAGGTCAAAAATGCATATTTAAAAATATTTAGAACTAAATGATGAAAATATTCTTATCAAAACTTGTGAGATCTGGCTAAAAGAGTATTTAGGGAGAGGTATGATACCATCTCTGTAAAATGTTTAGAACAAGCAATACAGTATTACATATTAGCATGGCTGGATACATATATTTAAAAAGTTTAAAAACAGGTACAAGAAGAATACATACTTTTTATGATAGTGGCAACTTCTAGGAATGAATGGAAAGGAACAGAATTTTGGGTGGAGATGGCAATGGTTTACCTGCATCAGTAGCTTATTTCTACAAATAATAATAATGATAAAAATAATTTACTGACATGTGGGAAATGTTATTATCTGTTAAGTTTTGGTGGTTATTTTATGTATTTATATGGAAATTACTAAATTTTTTATAATTTAAAAGTTTTAAAAATGTATCATCTCTTGGAGTTAAATGAAAAAATGTTTAAAGATAATAATTAAAAAAAAAATCTTCTGGTGAACAATAATGTGGAAGCTAAAACTGACATTTTTATGAAAGGTTTTCTATTCTTTGATTGTTAATAAATTTTGGAAACCAGGAAAAAAAAAACCCTGGATATTAATGCCAGCAATTTCTTCTAAATGAATAATAGAAACCAACACATAGAGGATGGAAAACCAAATATTCTAAATATGACATCATACAACTTTAATTTACATTAAGTGAAATACTCACATAGTAGTTGTCATTTATTTGAACCATTGGTGCATTTACACAGGCCCCTAAACATTCCACTTCTATAAGAGTGAAAAGTTTGTCAGGTGTAGTCTCTCCAACCTTTATTCCTAAAAATATAAATAATCACTGTAAGGACCAGGTTGTATTTTAATAGCAATATGGTCTAAGAAGAAAAAAGAAAAAAGCCTAACAACATATTAGAGGTATGCAATAAATATTTAAGAGTATTAAATTTCTTAAGCAATTCTGTACAATTACACTAGAACATTCAGGAATTTCTTAAGTGTACTTGTTCCTTTAAAAACAATCAAATTTCAGAAGACTCATCTCCAGTATTTGCTGTCATATAGCAGTGCATCAGACTATATAATTTTCATTTTGATTGTGAAAATGCTGGGTAAAATCATACTATTAGATTGGCAAAGACTCAGAAAACTGCTAATGTCAAACATCATTAAGAATGTGAGGAAAACAATTACTCTCATATCTTGAGGGAAGACATTTTGGCAAAATATAGTAAAATCTGACTCAGCAATTCAACGTCCTGTAAACATTCTCAGTATACAATAGAATGAGTATGCAAAGATAAGTATTCATGAAAGTAGCCACAGAGTAAATTATAACAGAAAAATGAGGCAGACATACATATTATGCTATAGCCAAAATAAAGTACAAAAAGCGAAAAGATGTATTACATTTAAGTATTTAATAATGAAAATAAATCAATACAAAACCTAAAACTAATATACTCAATTATTATCAGAATTTGCACCTTGAAGGTAAGGGGGTAGGATTCTGAACAAACTTCTGCTTTCTATTCTATATACTTTAATAATAAAGTATATAGAACTATATTTACAATATTTACAATATGCAAGTACTGTATATTCAGTAACAACAACAAAAAACCTTTTACTTCACTTGTTATGTATGGTTATAAATGCAGCAATGGCAGTTGTGAGGAAAAATGCCTTTTTAATTTTGTAAATGCCACTATAATAACACCCCTTCCTGAAGGTGTTATCATTCTTACTATTCTCTTATCTTATTTGTCCCAAGGCTAGTTTGGAAGAACACGAGGACAATATAGTCACTTAAAAAAAAAAATCACAATAAGTGAAACAATTTTCTAAACAAGGAAAACTTTAAAACTCCTAGAAGCTTTTCAAACATACTCAATGACTAGAAAAGAAAAGGTGGAAATTCAGCTTTGAGGCTGACAACTAAGGAAGAATACAAAATAAGAAAAAATAAAGGTAGACAGTAAGACAAAAATTTACTCATGAAGTACAAACCCAATATGATGGCAAGAGTTGGAAAATTTAAGTAGAAATAGGTCTACTCTAGAAAGACAATTCCAGTTTTCATAAAAGTTATCCATATAACGTGTCTCATACCAAGCTTTTTCTGAATGGCTTCCAGTATGCTGTCAGAGTTTCGAAGCATGCAAGGTGTAGTAGTGCAGACCTGAATGTGATACTTTCCAACTGGCTTTCGATTATACATTGTATAAAAAGTTGCTACTTCATATACTCTCATTGGAGGTACTTGTAAAACTTCTGCAACCTAAAAATATTAGGAAATTTTTAAATAACATAATTACAATGCTTACTGAACATTAGGTATGTTGTAAAAAGCATATTCATTATTGCTTCGATTTGGTAAAATCAGAAAAGTTCTTCAAAGCAGAAAATATACTAATATTTGATATTTGCAAGGTGTTAAGTTCAATTATTTTTTTTAATTAAAATTATTGGGGTGATATTGGTTAATAAAATCAAATAGGTTTCAAGGGTACAATTCAATAATATGTCATATTTATATTGTATTGTGTGCTCACTACCCAGGTAAATTTCCTTCCATCACCAAAAGTCCTGTAATTTTTGTAGACACCTTATACTTAAACCACACAGAGCCCAGAAGCTAATGGTTACCCTACTCCTTGTCTCTATAAAAGGACCTTTTTCTCTAAATCTTTAAGTCTTTCACTATTAAGAATTTCTACTTTGATCATTTCAACTATTATATTTTGTAACTTAAAATTTCTAACTGGCAAAAATTTGGTGGCCAAACCCCAATAAATTAAGCAATTATATTTTTCAACCTTTCACCAATTTTTCAAATAAGCTTTGACGTTACTGGTGATATATAGTGTGTGCAAATGGTTATGACAACAAAAGGTTGAGAATCAAAGCTTACCTACTAGCCCTTATTGGTTTATGTACACACACACACACACACACACACACACACACACCCCTCCAGAACAATCCAAATATTAATTACTATTTCCTACTGCAATATTCTTTACAAAAGCTGGATCTTATAGAGACTAGTACTTTCCAACCTTTCACATTAAGGTATGTACAGAAAATATTTGTTTTGACATACTAGGGGGTTGGGGAGGTTAGGACCAAGAGATTCACTACTTGAGTACAATTCTCTTGGTCAGGGCAAGTCTGTGGGAAAATAAGGATTTTCAGCTGTTTGCTAGGGCTGGTGCACGTACATTCTACCATGACTATAATCCTGGCTGCAACTTTCTAGGTGATCTAATATTATTAATCTAGCGGGTTTTCAGATTTGATATCTATCATTCTTAAAAATTATGCATATATCTATGTTTTGACATGAAAGAAGAGCTCATTAAATGGCATTTCAGATGACAAATATATTGAACTTCCTCATATTGGGGATTCTAAAAAAAATATATTCTCAAAAGACATCTAATAACAGCTGACATGTGAAAGATTAATTCAGTGATACTAAACCAGGCATGTACCTCTGAATCTGGGGAGCTCTATCAAAATACACATGCTAGATCCCTACCACTGAAATAACTGAATAAATCTGGAGAAACCCTGATGTCTAATTTGAAAAAACTCCTCTCAGGCTGCTGCTGTGCACCTCCCTACACCTCAATGATGGTTAAGAAACTAATGTGTGAGCTTCTGGATTTTGTTTTTGTTCTAAGGTTGGGCTTTTCCTTAGGGAAGGAGAGAAACAATAACCTTAAGTCTCAAATGTAAAGTGGAAAGAATCGTAATTATATTCTCTACATGCTACTTTCTCCCTCTCACACATACACGTCCAATTCAAAATAGAACAAGACAATATTTTTTAAATGTTCTCACATTAGTTTCTCATTTATTTTATTTTGCTCTGCTCAACTTGCCACTCAGCAAGACTTTCGACAAGTTTGTTATTATTAAAAACTAATTCTTGCAAAAATAAAAGTATCTATGATTAAAAACATACCTAAATCACTATCCAGAAAGTTGGCTATTATAAAAAACAATGTTAAGTAATTTAGAAAACCCCAAAATATGTGATTGGGGAAAAAAAAAACCCACCTATGTTTACCAAATATAGTACCAACCAAATTTGTTTATAACATTTTTCATAATCCAGAAAATACTAAGGGTCCACAAGAGTGTTAGAGTACTGTACAAAGCAAGTGAGTGATCAATAAATAAAACCTAAAATTTGCATTTGGGATTCTATTAGATAAACAGGGGATATTCTTATTCCCCAAGAAAGATGATAATGGTCTAGCTTAACAGTTAGACCAAATAAAATTTAGAATGTGAAAAGAATAAAGTATAGCAAAAAACCTTTTCAAGTAGAAAATGCAATGAATTGGAAATGGTTCCCAGCTCTTATCACGTAGAAAGCATAATGTAACAACTGGAAGAGATCTATCTAGTTCAAAATCTGCACTGCAGATGAGGAAGTACATCCAGAGAAAAATTACACCTCTTAGCTCTAAGTCAAATAGATTTTCCATCATATTACATTGGCTTATTAGTTGTGTGATTCTCATAAGACTCAAATAATATAAGGTTTTGTAGTGCACTTTGTAAATTATACACTGTAACATACCATACAAATGAAGTTATATTAACAGAATATGAATAAACTTGATATTTGGATTAGTGTCAGAAACACAATCAGAAAAAAATGAATCATAAATATGTATGAAAAGACTAACTTCACTTAAATGGGTCACCATAGCATTTCTGTAGGTTGTTGATTCCAAGGTACCATAATCGAGTGTTATATACCATAATATAAATTTTTGTTAGCTTGTAGCCAAAGCTGCAAAATATTATAGTCACATTAGCTATGAGATCTTTTTTACTGTAATTCTTTTAACTAGCACATTAATTTTCAGAATATCTTAACAGCAAATTATACATATTTGGGATCTTTTTATTATGGCTATTTCTCTCAAAAAGGTTGAAGGGGGAGAAAAATCTCTGTATTATTAAGGAAACCAAAAAAACACAAATATAATTTGAGAAAACATATAAGTGATTAAAGGGCTTCAAACTTTTATATTCTAACATATAATGACTGTCAGAGGAATTTCTACATAAGGAAGTTACTATACACAATCTCTCCTCTTTTTGAACTAAAGCAAAAACGAATTCAGTACCTTGTTCATAGCAGAAATAGGCAGCCATCCATTCTGTCTTTGGGCTAAATCCAGGACTGGAAGCACGGCTGCTGCTTTATGCCCTTCTGGATAGTTTTTTACAATTGCCTCTATCCTCTGCACCAAAGAAAAAGCACTTGTTTTTATACATCTGGAAGGTACTAAATATTCTGTAAATTAATTATAATGTTAATTTAGTCTACATAGAAACTACATACCTTATAGTTTTCTGGTGTGAAATCAAATGGGGTATCTGGGTTATTCTCAGGAGTATCTCTGTGCTACACAAAAGGAAAATGTTTCCCAAAATTATCAAAATTCTTTCAAAAGTGTGAAAAACTTTGTACATTACTATATTATTACTGATTGTTTAATCTCTTCACTTTATTTTCAACATGATATATAGCAATCCCTGCATCAAAAAGAATGGCTAAATTAATACACATTTGATGAGTATGATTACCCAAGTAATGTTAGCAGAATTCAAAATTTCAAAAGTTTTAGAAGTCATCATTAATGGTTTAAAGAAGTAGCTTTAGGATAAAAAAACAGAGTTATTAAACTTGATTAGAGGATAGGATCTTCTAATTACCAAAACATTACCAATTATTAGAAGCCTTATGAAATTAAGACACAATTTTGAGTGTAAATATAGTTGATTTTTCTAAAAGAGAGTGTATCAAATTGTCAAAGGGACTCACTACTTTAGGGAGGGTACAAAAGCACTGTCTCTTCCCCATGAAACAGAAACTAAGCAACAGCTAGTTTTCCATAACAGAAACTAGCCAACAGCAAGAAGCTTTATTTTTTCTCCATAAAAGAGCAGGCCCTATTTAAAAACTGACAAGAAATGGCATGTCAACAGGAAATCAAATGAGTCACACTGAGATTAACACTTACACCGATAAATGTTCTGTATGTATGGTGAACACAGAACTGAATCCCTTAATATGTTAACTTGGAGTTCTTTTTCAAGGACATAAAAGAGGGAAAAAAATGGAAACTTTGGACAATGATTTCAAATATTTGGCAAATCTGATACGTTTTTATACAAAGATGATAAAATAACAAGCAGGAATCTACTTATCAATAGCATGACTAACTCAATAAGATTCAGCCTGGAAATACTCAGTTTACAAAACTATACCACTAACACTAAATCATACAAGTCTACTAAATTGCCTTTAATCACCAGATTAATCCTTGAACACTGTACCTTGTCAGAGAAAGGGGATACATTATCTTATCCTTTCTGAACTGTGCATTTAAGCTGAGGGGTTCATTGACCTCTACCTGTAGTTAAATCCTGGAAACCGAAAATACAAAGGCCAACTACCAATGTATTCACTTTATTACTAAAATCCATGTGTTTCAAAATAGTGCCATTTTGGGATTTCCCAACTTGCAGCCTCAGAATCTTGAGTAAGCCAACTTGACTGATTTTTGAGAACCCAAAATGTGAACTCAGGTTAGTGCTTACAATAATTTCACCAAATAATCTTAATTCTTATTTCCACCCTTGCCCTGGTAACAATTTAAACTGAAACCACACATCTTTTGAAAGGTAATTAATTCAATTAGCTATTTTTAAATTTCCACAATGGCCAGGATATACCAGACACTAATACTTAAGATATTTTGGATTATTACAACAGATTTACCCAAATTTCCAAGTCTTTTCATTCTGAAGAAACCTAATTACTTACCACAAATAAAGCTCCTCCAGCTCCATTTTGCACTGCTGTCTTATGTAAATTCCTTATATGCCTTCCCTAAAATTTTAAGAAAATTTAGTAAATCACAAGCCTTAAGACATTTTCCATGTGTAAATATTTTAAGATCCGTAACTAAAAACAGAATCGACTTACGTAAAAGATCTTAAGAAATACTGTCTACTACCCTACACCCTGCCCATTGTATTTCAGGAGATGTATAAAAAAATGGTGACCCAAAGATAAGGTTATTAACTTGCCTACATATAAGATGGCATACATCTGAAGAGTTAATGCACCTTTCACTTTAGTCTGAATCAAGTTGGATGCCCGCTTTCATTTAGTGTGGACCTTCACAAACATGTTTTCATTCTGTACTAATGAGTCATATAATCTGCACAAATGAGTCAACTGTATCCTCCTTTTTAATTCTTTACTTAGTTTAGAAACTCCAGCCATAAAAGTAGTTTCAGAAAGCTGCTTATGATCTTTCGCAGAATGACCATACTTAATTGTTGTGGAAGAAATCCATTTAATTACCCTCTCCAACATTGCATTTCATTTCTCTTTGCCCTGTTGCTTTTCCCCCATTCCTACCTTATCACTCTCCCCTTGCAAAAGCGATTCAACTACTATTCAGACAGACATTCTGTGACTTCTAAGTTCTATTAACCACAGATGGTAGAACACTGGATTAAAACAAGCATGGAACTGGCAGAGTTGGACAATTCAAAGGTGGCAAACATGATAGAGAAGGAAGTAAAAGCAGTGATATAACACAATCACATTTTTTCCCCTAGGTTCAAATAATATTTCAGTTAAAGAAATACATGACATAGAACACTTCTTTTAATTAATAAGAAAAGACCCAGGTACAGAATGTACAACACAGGTTTAAAATATGAGACAGATAAATATCAGTTTCAGGATAATGGGAGAAGGGAGAATTCGATCTGCTAGTGGTACACAAGGAGGTTTCAAGTGTGCTGGTTTTGTTTCTTGGGCAGCAAGTGGATACACAGTGATTATATATATTTTTTGTGCCTGAAATGTAAGTTTCTTTTAATAAAGGATGTAATACATATCAAGGAGACATTTTATGTTCTTATAATTTTATTCAATTTCTCCCAAATTGCTTCAGGGTTAATCTGTGAATTAAATATAAAGTTATGCCTATCTCCTTGATCTGTCTGTCTAGAACCTGGACTGAGACAAACATAAAACTAAGGTCCTAATTCTTAAATAGTACTATAAGAACAATATCAGCAATAAAGTTTTTAAAAAATTAACAAACTAAAATTTAGAAGACACTATCTGCAACCACTTTACCTGAAAAAATGTGTGTGTGTATATATTAGATCAAAGAGTAATTTGTACTGAGTAACATGAGTGAGTACACTAAATTCTAAAAGAAAACAAAGGATTTCATTATAAAGGAAGGATTAATTTAAGAGCAGGAAAAGTATCCAATCCTCTTTCCTTAACTTTTTATTTACTGGCATTTTTATCTCCTCTCGCACAAGGTGGGTGTTCTCAGGGCTCAGTTCTGTCCTAAGTTCTTAATAGATTTTTTGCCTCAAAGAGCTTATCAGTTCTCACCTATTAACTCTATGCTGATGACTCTTGAATCTTATAAACATCTGATGACAAAAAGTTCAGAGAGATCATAAACACATATAAATCAGTAAGAAAAATGAGTTAATATGAACAAAATTACACAATTCAAATAGTTAATAAACTTACTGGTAATTAAAAACATACAATTACAAATGAGAACATTATAGCTATCAAATTAGCAAAGGAGGTTTTTTTAAAGATAACATTCAATTCTGTTAGTGTATGGTGGGTATACTTATACATTAGATAACAACTGACACAAACTTTTAGGAAAGCAAATTGGCATGGTGTATAGACAGACTAAATTAAGTTTCCCTCTTTTAGCCTCAATTCTACTTTAGAATTCTTTTACCCTAAAGAACAGTATAAAATGAGGATAATGGTTTATATAAAAATATTTTCTGCAGTGTTCAAAATACAAGCAACCAAAAAACTCAATGTAAGTTTTAAATAAATATTAATAATTCCAATAAAAATCATATTATATAGCTAACAAAAATCACATTTCCTAAATATAATGACATAGAAAGAAGTATGTGTGTCACAACCATAACTGGAAAATATCAGGATTAAACAAAAAAGTATAAACTACAATCCCAATTATATTCAGTATAGACACAAAAAAGATTGGAAGGTCATAACAACTAAAAGGGCACACCTCTGTTATTTATGATATTGATAAGATTATAAGCACCTCTTATTTTATATTTTGTTTTTTTCTATCTTCTTTTACTTTCCAGGTTTCCTATTTAGCATAGATTAACTGACACACTGGCAAAAAAAAAAAAACGTATTTAAAACAAAACATTCATCAGGTACAAAACAAAACTTAGCACTCTGTTAATCATATTTCTTCTTTCAATTTCCCTTTATATTAAATTAAACATCACCAATCTCTAAATTAAAATAGCTCCAGTTTGGGGTTAAAATTTGAACTCCTCATTATTCCAGAATCTGCCACATACCACTATTTATAAAAAAAAAAAAAAAAAAGATAATCTTGAAAATTGGTCTTTAGGCTTATGTAGCTACATACTGGAAAATTTATTTTGAAGCACTATCTGGCTGACCTGTAATTCTGGATATGCACATAAGTTTACACACATACACACATACACACACACACACATTCTATCCAAAATAAAGTGTTTTAAAGTCCAAATCCTTGAAGACATACTACTGAGAACAGTCAGGAAAAAGTGGTTAAGTTATAGGAAAAAACACTGGAGCTTTGGATTAATTCTTTTTTAAGATCTGTTTAGATTAATACTCTGCCACTTACTAAAACATGTGATCTTACACAAGTCAATTAACTTAAGCCTCAACTCTTGTACCTGCAAAACAGATACTTACTTACTGAAGTGTTTTGAGGTTCAAGTAATAGTTTCTTTGAACCTGTTACAGCATTATCTTATCTGCTTATTTGACATGAAGATAAAACATTTAAGAACTGAAAAATGGAAGATTTAAACAACTGCACTTTAAGAACCAAACATAACTTTTTTAAAACAGTAAATGCAATTCTTCTCTTCTTACAAAAACCTAAATATATATACATCTATATAGCATTTGAGAGCCTTAATTTCAATGTCTGAAGTCCACTTTAAGAATAGAAGGACTCAGATAATTTGCTTATAAAATAAAAGCAGCAAGCAAAATAATGAGCGTAAACTGATAAATATGAGCCCTTATTTTTTTCATCTGGCAAGAACTGTTACTCATTCACTGCAAGTTAACGTTTGACCATTTTCAAAGCTGCCCTGCTTTTGGATATTTTTAAGAACTTCACCTATTTTACATTCATTATAAAATATATATCAGACATTTTCAATAAAGAAATAAGATATCAAGTTTAAATTAACATCTTTACACTACATAATGGGCCATTTGAATTCAATTTCACTTTAGAATAAAGAGGGATTCCAGGAGCAATAGGTCTTAAAACCAGAAGAAAATAATTTACTTAGGCGGTACTGATTTGAAATGTAAAGTAAGTTTTACCTTTTTAGATGAGAGTCTAAGTTTCTACATTAGACTCTGAAATGTCTATGTACTTCAGTGAATTCCAGTAGAACTCAGTGAACTCCAATAGAAAGTCCGAGTAATTTTTTTTTTTTTTTAATAAACAAGAACATAAACTAAGAATTTATAGTGGCTTCCACTTCTAGCTTACTCTTTTTTCAGAGTGTTTCAAAGGGAACACAGATTTACAACAGGAAAATAGTGAGTGGCAATGTTTTCTTTGGATTCAGGTAACTAGTGGTTTTGTGTTAAGTATTTCAACATACTTTTTCACTGACTCCTCAAAAATCTATGGTTAGTTATTATTTCCATTTTACTTTTAAAGAAACTTAAACTCAGAAACAGTAACCTGCCCTATACCATATAATTAGTGGCAGAGATGGATTCTGAGCCCAAGCCTTCTGAATCTAAGTTTTCTGCTCTTTCTACTAGACTATCATCATTTGCAATAGCAATACCAACAGCTCAAAATGACAAAAATTAAAGTTTTATATTCTTTCACCCACTCTCCAAGAATAGGATCTTTTTTCTTATTTTTTTAGCTTTCTTCTGTTGCCCAACATTAATAGTATCCAACTCTGCTCACCCTTCAGCTCTACCAGACATTTGCACTTATAAAAGGCTACATCCAGCCATGGGAATTTAATAAAGGACAAATAAGGTGTAAAACAAAACTGGCAGAATCAGTAACATAATTGTTCAGAAAGACAGGACTAGCCTACAGCCATGCCACTCTGAACACACCTGATCCCATCTGATCTTGGAAGTTAAGCAAGGTCGGGTCTGATTAGTACTTGGCTGGGAGACCACCTAGGAAGACTGGGCGCTGTAGGCGCAAAAAAAAAAAAAGACAGGACTAAGGTAGGCAACTGAAAAAGTAGTCTATTCCTTTATTAGCAACCAATTCAGGCAAGGAACAGACCTTTTAGACCACCCTGAACATTTACGGCCTAAATCCACAAAAACATGTGCACCTGCAGAGGGGCCACAACTCACCCATGTGAAACATCTCCTGGTAAAGATTGTTGGCTGCCTATATACTTTTTTATCCACTCTTCACCAATATTACTCCCTTACGACCTATGGCCTTCCCCAATGCCAGCTTGAGCAAAGGCCATTTCTTACAGCTGTCTAGAGCCAAGATATGCAGCGAAACTAAAAGCTCTCCCAAAAGTCTTCATCCATGATACAGTGAGTAGTTACTTTTACATTTTAAAAAATTCTTGAGAAATAAATTGTTCAATGAATTTTAGTTTAATAAAATAGATGGGCTAGTAGTAACTTTGAAATCTATTTCAAAGATGATGATAAATACAAATGCTTTCTCTGCCTCTACTGTGCTACAAAATTTACAAATACTGTAACTCGTTTACACCGCACAATAACCCTACTATATACCATTTTACAGATGGGGAAACTAT